CTGATAGGTCTAAGTGTGTCTGAATGTCTCCACAATGACGCCATGCAGAACCGCTTGTTCTCTGTGACGCAAATATAGTTAACATCTGCATCAGATGCGCACATCAATCAATATGTACAGCGATGGAACACGTTCGCTCAGCAAACCGCATTATTAGGTAAAAAACGTCGAATTACTTCCTTCATTCTATTAACCGTTCACTTGCTCGAGCTGACATATGTTTCAATACATCAGACGCTAAGTCGTGAGCCCATAGTACTTTTTTTTATCTGAAAAGGCAACCGTAGCAAACCTTCTTTTGACTTAAGTGTGCTAATATGCTGCCTGTTTAGATATGGACTACTTCATGAATAAACTGCAGACGTTTACGCAGACTTGCCCTAGGATTGGTGAATGGCGGGCCATTTTTTTCAAGCTGAATCATTAACACTCGCAAAGTGAGTGAGATTGTTTTTAAGTCGCAGAAATCACCAGAATATACCGGTACAGTTACCTCATAAACATGCATTGATAATTCTACCAAAAATCTTTGTTTTCGTAAGATGTACATCCGTCACATGACACACACCAGACTGCGATGGTTCAGCTGTCTCAGACAGAACCAGCACAATGTTTTACCTGTGTGAGACAAAACAAGCCTTCTTAGGCCTTTTCCATAGCGGTTCTCACAAAACTCTAAAACAAAATTATTTTGTTCGCTCTATACCGATTTTTCAGCTGGCAGGCGTACAGGCTAACAATTTTCAGACTGAAAAATGTTAAACGAAGAAAATTTTGATGAAAACGGTAACCTCTTATTTGTGCCGTTGATGCGTAAAGTAGACAACATTTGCAAGTTCCTAGTGCCAAAGAAGTTGGCAATAGGATGACACAGAACTTTTTCTATTACTTATACGAACGTACAGTCCTGTGAGTCCTGCAAACAACTTTCATGACGAAATTTTACTGGGTAGTTGAGCGTATATCTGGACAGGTCATTTTGATCAACCGAGTTGATTTAATAAATATAAGGACTTTGGTTTAAAAAACCGCCCCTTAGTTAAAGTTATTGAGTGACAGTAGACGCCATTGAACATGCAATATTCCTACATATGTGAAAGATTGATACTCATTCGGTAATCGGCATTGACTCAGGTTGTGATACTGATTATTGTGTAGTCTATTCTGCAGTCATTTCAGTAGGGATAGGATGCCGGGTTTTCAACGAGCTCCTTTCCGAATCCTAGCAAAACGTATCTATTGGAAAAACTGACCACATAAATAGTATGCCTTTTTATCATTGATTTTGACTGCCTTTAAAAATTCAAATATATTTTATGGATAACATAGGCGAACAAATTATTTCTTGTACTTGTTTGATAGAAAATTACACCTTAATTTTTTTACCTGAGGAATGGGTAGCTTTTCGTTTTAAAAAGTTGCTTAGTTGCCGAAAAATTTTCTAACCTAGTGACTGCTATACTCGAATACTCAGCTAGAGTTTGGGGAAGATGTCACTTAGCTGTCATACAATTTTGGAATAGATGTGGAACATATTTTATGCAGTTAAGGCAGCATTGATAAACAGACAGACACGATGTTTAATGAATAAAAGCCTCACAGTTTTAGAAAAGCTCATAATAAGCAACGTTTTTTTTAAACCGAAAGCTAGCTTTCGTTTGAGTATAAACTTTAAAGTAGGGGTAATTTTCAACCAAACATGTACAAGAAATATTTTTTTCGTCTGCGTTTTCCATAAAATATATTTGAATTTTTAAAGGCAGCCAAAATTAATGATAAAAAGGCAAACTACGTAATTAGTCAGTTTTTACAATGGATACGTTTTGCTGGGAGACGAAAAGGAGCTCGTTGAAAAGCTCGCATCCTATCCTGACTGTCATGATTTCAGAATAGACTGCACAATAATCCGTATCACAACTTGAGTCAATGCCAATTACCGAAAGAGTATCAATGTTTCGCATATGTCGGAATATTGCATGATCAATGGCGTCTACAGTAAATGGACACTCATTTTGGCTATATCATGAGTAATTTCTTGCTAAAAAAATGTCCTATGCTATAATGAAAGAGAGAACCAAACTTGTGCCTGATAAACTTTGCGCTGTGGACGAATTTCATAAGTAGTAAAATAATACTCCCTTTCAGAACTGGAAATTTTTCCGATGTTGATCAAATGGAAGTTAAGCGAAGTTGAAAAAATCGCAATTATTTTGATAAGCAAGCAGCGATACAAGTTTTTAGAATTAAAATTTGCTATTTCTTTGCACAAAATGCAGTAAAAAACGTTTTGGTAGAACATTTACTTTTACCGCACAGCTGGCTTTGCGCGTAAGCAAAGTGCCTAAATTTTACCGCGATTACCACCAATAGAAGGCCTTATTGGATGTCAGTCATGTAGAAGTATTTTCTTTGTAAACAATACGTCCCGTGCAGTCTTTCATTAGAAACTGAATATACTAAAGACAAATAAGTATCTCAAAAAATGGTTTGATTGTTTGCAATCTTAAGCTCATTGCGGATCATGGAATCAAGCCCCTTAAGCGGAAAATAATCCGTTAAAAAGAGAAAGGTATATATTTCATCTCCAGTCAAATTTAATCGTTTCTCTTCATTTAAATTAAAGGAATCGTCAAAAGTCTCCAATTTCACTGTGACATCACCTTGCGAAAAGTTAATATACATAGAATTTCGTCAGCTAAACCTCCGATAAAAGCACTTTTGAAAAGAGGTAACGTATTGTGAAAGTATTTTTTATTAATCTTAGGAATAAAAATATGCGTGGTATCTAGCAGAAATGTTTTATGCTCGACAATGTGGTTTGCTGTTTTGAATCACTATCAGATTTGACCTACATGGGCATCTTCATAAGAACTAATTTACAAAAGCTTGTTTTTTTCGATAGATGCTGTTTACTTATAACTTATCTTAAAGGTTTTGATGTTAACGTCGAACAGATGCGCGATTTATTAATTTATAAATGAAGACAATGAAAACTAGCGAACTAAAGAGATACGTTATTCTACGATATCCAATAAAAATATATCTTATAATTACCATGTGTACGATATATTTCGACTAAAGGCAAGTTCTTTTTATATAAAGAAAGTGGTTGCTTTAAGTTTTATACTTAACAAAATATGTAAATTTATTGTTCTAATTTATAGCTATTTTTGACGTCTCTACAACCTGGGAATTATCGGGAAATTGTTTTCTTTACAAACACAGTACTCAAAATGCCTTATGCTGTTCATTATTATTTCTAAGTTTTCTTAAATGCATACTTGCTGGTATGAAGAGAAATAATTAAATATTTACAAACTTAGGCAAGTTGCTTGCAGGACTAGCAATAGTGTAGGTACGACGTGACTATGGCCTCGCCTCTTAAGCCCCTGTTAGCCAACTTATTTTTGTCGCATTGCACTACAATTAATCCTATCAACCAACCTCTTTCATTGTATAGGAGCAGTTTTTGTCTCCTACATTTGGTTTTTTTTAAGTGGGGGTCCGCTGAACTCTGCCCCCACTTTAATGGTTGTAGTTTTTTTAACTGCTTCCTCCTTAGTTCACCATGCGTTTCAGAGAGTGTTGACCTATTACCTTAAAATGACGATACGTTAGTGAATATGAACTTATCTGCCTTCATTACTAAACGCTCCCGCTGCTTATGTGTCTGCTCACGGAGAGCAGCACTTATCAACTTTAAATTTATTTTTCCACAGCACTAAGATGGCAACGCCTGAAATATAAAATGTATTTATTCGTGGGCAAGCTTAAGAAATTATGGCTAGGTGATCAAATCAGAAAGCTAAAGGACGCTGTTCGCTGCGTTAATTGCACATGTGCCATCACCTACAATCATTTGTCCAACTTCCATAGTTTTTATATTAACACGAGCCCTGTTTAATGAAACTTGCTTCAATTGGCTGCAGTCTCGCATGCTTCCTGTCAAATATACATAAATTTAAGTCGAACATAGCTTCGAAAATTCCTTCAAAATATGCCCAGATATCATGTACCGATGTTTAAACATAAGCAGAAATGATGAAAATAATAACACCTTCAACAAGGGCATTTTGTGATGTGATGGCTGGACCGATCGTAAGTTCCGGTTTTCTTAAGATGCAAATCCTACATAGAGTTGTGGTGTTTTTAGCGCTTTCCTCTTTTAAATACCAACAACTTTTTTGAATTAATTTGGCAAAACTCGCAAGGACTTGGCGTACTTTCGCACTCGAAGTGTTTCAGATAACCTATCAGCGAAAGGCACATACTTCCACAGCGTATAAGCTAGACCTCCTTTCAGGAAATTGCAGGAATATCTCGAAAATTACATTGCAGGTGACTCTTGACATTTGTCTCATTAAAACGTAGTAAATTGCGTAGGTTCGGGGTTGTGCGCACATTCACATCTGCTGTTAACAGCATATGAGATGTAATTTAATCTTCTCAATGACTATGTATGACCATTGAATTTTTATTGTATTACTTTCCAGCAACACTGCAAGCATGTTTCAAATGCAAAGGTGTTAAGCACCCCGTAAACTTTCGTTTAAACAATATATGTTATTTAAAGGAAGGGCCGCCTTTAAAAAAATCAGTAAAGGTGTTCGTTAATTTTCGACACTGGATCCCCATTTCGTCGCTAGACGTGAGAAAAATGTGATAAAGAACAGTTAACATTAAAAACTGTTGATACAGTTATATTTTCCTCTTTTGTGGACGATAATTGATAGTTGAAATTTTTTTCACATGGTGGTGGACATAATCAGCTGTCACACTGGCGTAATGGCTAATTAGCAACTGTCATTTGAGTCGTTCCGAAGTAAGTCCAGGTCATTGGATGTGGACGCTAATTGCGGTTCATTTTGGACCACAGCTGTCGGCTGAAGGCTGGTGGCGCGGATGTTCAAAACGGGTGCTTGACACAACGAGGCGGTTCGACGATGCGAAGTTGACAAAGCGCTCACCGCTGGCACATTGAGCTCCGACAGCAAATTTGCCTACCACATGATGGGTTCCAGCGTCACAATCACCTGGTCGGGCGTTCCAATCACCGGCAATGACGAGTAGATCGCTTCTTGC